GCATCAGACCACCTAACCTCACGGTCACAGTGCACCCCGCGTCAGACCACCTAACCTCACGGTCACAGTGCACCCTACATCAGACCACCTAACCTCACGGTCACAGTGCACCCTGTGTCAGACCACCTAACCTCACTGTGCCTCAGCTTCCTCCTCTCGATGATTAAGAGTCAATATCCCCACCGTTGTAGGAATGAAATGAGAGACTGTATCTGCTGAGTGACAGATCTCACAAGTTTAGCAGCTAAAACCGCACACCTATTTTGGCTGACCGGGTAGGAAGTTCCAGGGGGTCTCATTATGTCCTCAGCACGGGGTCTCCCAGGCTGACACGGCAGTGCTGCGGGGCTGCAGACTCACCCAGAGCTCGGGCCTCTTTTATCGTGAGGATCTTTGTGGGGGACGTGGAACCTGCTCTGTTGTTCCTGTGACTTCAGATCCCAGCCCCACAGCCTCAGAGGAGCACCATTATGTTTCCATTTGCTGTGAGCTCTCGTTTTTCTTTACTGGACAACTCATGTCCAGCAGCTTCCAGCTTTCACTCCAGGTAAGTCCAACCGCTTTCTCCAAAGGGATGGACATCACGGGGAGCGAGCAGCTGCCCCCCCAGTACCTGGCCGACGTGGACACCTCTGATGAAGACAGCGTCCAGGCTCACAGGACCACCTCCCTCCACTCCAAAAGGCAAGGCCAGAATTCGCCCCAGAGTCAGGTAACCACAGCTGAAAGAATTTTATCTTGTTACCTCTTCTACCTTCCCACCAAGTCACTTTGGAGAAATTAAAGCTTTCGCTATTTTCAAACTATAGAATTGCACAAGCTTACTTAATAGAGATATGTTATTGAAGTGAATTCACATGATGGATCAACTCTTGTAGGATAGCAGTTCCTAAAAAAACTAAAAATGGAGTTAATATGTGATCCAGCAATTCCACTTATTGGTATAAACCCAAAAGAATTAAGAACAGGGACCCCAAGAGATGTGTATACCCGCGTTTGTAGTGACATTAAGCCAGTGTCAAAAGGACAGATGTGTTATCCCACTCATGTGAACCTGCAGTGGCCACATTGGCAGAGACAGAGTGGAGCGGTGGGGGCTGGGCTGGGGAAGCACATGGGGCGTTAGAGTTTAATGCCACAGAATTTCAGCTTTGCAAGATGAAAAGAGTTCTGGAGATGGACGGTAGTGATGGTTCTGTGGTAATGTGAATGCACTTAACACCACTATAAATGGTTGAAGGGGAGATTTTTGTTATGCATATTTTATAATTAAAAATGTTTTGGGTGGCGCCTGTGGCTCAAAGGAGTAGGGCGCCAACCCATATGCTGGAGGTGGTGGGTTCAAACACAGCCCTGGCCAAAAAAAAAAAAAGTTTTAAAAGACAGAAACTAATACATATTTCATAGACTTTGGGAGAAAACAAATAATCTTTAAAGATAAGAAAATATATTGATCTTTAAGTGTGCAATTCACTGACGGTACATCAGTGCGGCCACTGCCTTGCTCTAATTCCAAAGCAACTTTAAAACCCCAGAAGAACCCCTGGGACCGATCAATCTTCCTCACCAATCTCCTCTCCACCCAGCCTGGAACAACCACCTGTCCTTCTGTCTCCATGGATTGGTCTGTTCTGGACATTTCCCATTAATGGAATCACAGAAGGACGGGTGAGCTTTTGTGGCCAGCATCCCTGACCGAGCATGACGTTTCGAGGTTCATCTACATCACAGCACGTGTGGACACTTCATTCCTTTTCATGAGAATTTACATTTTATAAAGTATTATGTCTTTTACAAGAGGAGGAAATAATCTTACCATTTATGTAAAACTCTTACCAGGTATTATACAGGCTTGAAGAAAATTCTATTTAGAATACTTAACTCCACTTAAATTAGTGAGACTCACATTATAGACACTGATTTATGAAATAATTCATCATAAGATTCCTGGGCAGCACCTGTGGCTCAAAGGAGTAGGGCCCTGGGCCCATATGCTGGAGGTGGCGGGTTCAAACCCAGCCCCGGCCAAAAAAAATGTAAAAAAATAATAATAATTCATCATAAGATTCCTTTAAGCACCACAAGTTCCCCTCAGTGCATTTAAACCATGATTACTCTGTTTACAGAAGGCTGATTTCCACATGAGCAAGTATGTTTTACTGAGGGAAAGGCAGTATTGTTTTGTATGAGAGCTTCGTGATCAATGACCCAGGCCCACTGAGGTCCCCAGTATGGCCTTGACTGGCAGCAGTGAAGTCCCAGGATTGGGATTGGATTTGTAACTGATGAGTCAGAGGCCTGAAACCCAAGGACGGGGGAGCGGAACTGCCTCAATGGAGACCGGACCACGGCCTCGCTTTCCAGGAGCTGGTGCAGGTCCAGTTCCATCCACACGTGGACACGCGGCACAGAGCTCCTCCTGGGGACGGGGAAGCCGCTGTGGAGCTTCCCTTCAAGAGCCCCAGAGGTTTGGGCTGTAGGTAGAAAGATGAAAGGCCATGCTGAGTACGCTCAGGAGAGGCCTGGCCCAGAGAGCAGGGGGCGGCCGTGTGCAGCTGGGGCTGACATGGTTCAGGATGAGGACCGGAGGGGCAGGCGAGGAGGGTGGGGGGCCACTCTGTGACCTCACCCCTCTGTGCACGGGAGCACCTGGAAAGGACAGTCGCCCACCTCTGCAGCCACAGTTCTGGGCTCATCACGGCAGTCGCTGAACCAGCTGGGGCATCAGGCACCAAGGTGCCCAGTGGACCCCAGGCTTTTTAGAGCTCTCACACCATGGGAAATCTGTCCCAAGGCTGTTCCCCAGAGATAACCCTTCATGCACATGACAGTCGGAACTTCCTATCACTTTGCTTCTGAGCCCAGAGAAGGTATCTGCCAAAAATGAGCACAAGGATTTTAGAAAGATCCACTCTTAGCACGGCAGTTTTGGAAATCATTTCAGGGACTTTTTGCTCTAAAACTTACTGAGTATTGACTGTGCCTCTCTGGACCCCCAATGTGACTGAGGTGCCACTCAAGGCAAGGTTCCGGTCTGACCGAGGTCCTCACGTGGACATTCATCAGTTCACCCTGTTCTGCAGGTGGATTTGCCCACTCAAGCCCTCACTGCCATGACGATCCCGCTCGTCACCCACCGAGCAGCGAGAGGCACCTTCACGCTCACAAGTGTCATTTCCCTCCTTGCAAACAAGGTGAGCGCCAGCGAGATAATGGCAGGAAAGACGCCTCTTCAGGCGAGGAAGAAAACCAGAGAATTGATTTCTCGTGTCTCGGTCTGCAAGCTAATGGACTTTGGGTGACTCAAGAATCTGGTGACTCAAGGGATGAGGAAGTTGTACTCTCAGCTACTTTAGGGCACTTCCCAGCCCACAAGTGACCCAGGGCTCTCGCTAGCTAATGACCTGTATTTGATCACTGTGGTGTATTAACGGACGCCTTCCTTGGTGATCAATATCGGCTGTGGCAATAGCTGTGCCCTATGATGACACTACCCTTCAGCACTGGGGTCCACATCTGGCTGTGAGGACACTACCATAGCCCTTCAGCATTGGGGGCCCTATCTGGCTGTGAGGACACTGCCATAGCCCTTCAGCATTGGGGTCCCTATCTGGCTGTGAGGACACTGCCGTAGCCCTTCAGCATTGGGGTCCCTATCTGGCTATGAGGACACTATCGT